CGGGTAAGTCGGAGTTGGCCTTGGGCTTGTTTCGTTTTTTTCAGAAGGGGTCGGCGCGCGGCCCCCTCGGACCCAGCTCTCGATGCAGAGTTTTGGCTCCAGTAACGCCCCTAGGATAATTCACCTGATAATCGCACAGCCAAGTAGAGTCCCAGAAGACAGCATAGTCGCCACACAAGCCGCTGCAGCCTGGTCGGGAAGGGGGAGCAGTCGCCAGTTGCACGGCCTCCGAGTGGACCCAGACACGTCGTCGCAGAGTCCCGAGGCAGCGCGGATCTCGCGCGAAGATCCCGCACCTGTAGCCAAATCCGGCGGGGCGGCAGACACTGCAGAGCACGTTTCGCGAATGTGCCTGAGGGCGTCTCGCTGCCCGGCGTTTTCGATGCCAACGGAGGCCCCTCGGCGCGCCTCCCTCGACCGTTGGTTGAACAAGGAGTCCCATCATTGGCGCAATCACGAGAATGCTGGACTCTCCTGCGCCCCCGCTGCGCGGTGCGACGCGGGAACAGAATTGCCCGCCGCTGCCCACCCCCCTGGCGAGAAAAGCGAAAGAAAGATGTCCCGCTCACGCTCTCCGCGCGCTTACCCAACTGGCGCGACAGAGCAGGCGGCGGCGGCGCACATGGCAGGCGAGAAGGATCGGCCCAGAGCGAGAGGCCAGGAGGAAAAGAATAGCAAAAAAGACAGCGGGGAACCCTTGGACCAAAAAACCCGGCCCGCTCTCTGCCGGGAGGAGGGATACGCACGTCAGAGTGTCTCCGAGGTGCAGGACGGCGGCCGGCCGATCTCCGCCGCCCGACGGGTCTCATGCATCGTCCTTTCCGTCCTTCTTGGCATGTTTTCAAGATTTGCGCTGGCCCTGCCCCCCCGAGCCTCGCGTCTATCCATGACGGACACTTCCTTCTGAAGTTCGGCGGACACCCAAGACTGCAGGGCCGGGCAGACCGCGACGCCCCCGCGGATGCGATCCAGCCCCGTGCCCAAGAAGGCATCCTGAGTGGTCTCGCCGCTTCTCCCTGCGAAGCTCGGCATCCTGTCGCGGTAGCGCTCCTCCGAGAGATGGATGGCCCGCGATATGATCTCTGCCCTAGCGACGTCTGGAAGATTGAATTGATCGAACGTAACCATGTTCTCCGACATCTGGCAGCGCATGCGATGGTTCTCGACCCCGCCGCCGTTGTTCTGCAACTTCGCGTCGGCCTTCCACCGAGCGTGTCTGCCGAGCAAGGTCTGGCCGTTGGACACCATGAAATGACATAGCCACAAGGTAGTCCGAGACCCTCTGACCCTCTGACCCCGAAGTCATTGCACGGGGTCTCGACAATCTCCTTGACGGCAAGGCGAAACTCCCTGAAGCGAGATCCCGAAGCGTCGTGCGCGACGGGCTGGATGCGGATGTGCGGATGTCCACCGTCGGCACGTTGGCACCTCCAAGCAAAATCAAGCCAGGGGCAGCTCCAGCTGGAAACACCGAACCGCCAAGGCCCACGGCCAGGGGCGCCGCGACGGGCGCGGGCGCCAGAGCCACAGCGGGCGCGGCAGGCGCACCAGCCGCAGGACGGCCGCCAGGCGCGGCCATTCCGCCCGCGCCGCCAGCGCCTGGAGCTCCAGGGGCGGGTCCGGGGGCTGCAGCCAGGGCGCCGACCCCACCTCCGACGATGGGCAAGCCCGCTCTAGCGGCCCCAGCAGCTGCCGCGGGCGCGGTTCCAGCACCTCCGCCGACGACTCGTCCAGCCAAGTTGGGTTGCATGCCGTCGCCAGTCACGGGGAGCCCCCTCCGCCCTGCAGCCGCCGCGCGTGCCGCTTGGAACGCCGCGGGCGTCGGCACGTTGTGGAAACGGTACACCGGCACCGCGAGCCCGCCCGGGCCTGGCGGCGCGGCCCCGCCGCAAGCACCACCTGCCATCAGCCCGAACCAGACGGTCTCGGGCCCCTGCATCTAGTCCTTCTCGTAGCTGTCCCCGTCCGGCGTCAGCCGGCGTCAGCACGCTCACGGTGGTGCCAGCCCCGGGCTCGATCAGCTCGAGCCTCTCGTGTTACAGCGGAGCGCCCGGCACGTTGTACTGAACCGCCCCAGAATCCCCAGCTTCGATGTTGAGGCTGAGCCGCCGCCGCCATCCTCTCAGGCGCGGCCGCGCCGCTGGCGAGCACGCTCAGCTGCTCCTGGGCGAGGGTCCCCAGCTCCGCCTCCGCGTCCTGGATGGGCTTCACGACCTCCACCTCGTGGGCCGCAGAGCCAGCGCGCTTGCCGAGCTGTCGGCACGCGCCCCAGACTGTCACCAGGGCCGCGCCCAAGCACCCGCAGCTCGCCAAGACCAGCAGCCCGGCGATGACCACGAGCAGGCGCAGGTCGATGGCGCCTGGAAAGCCGCCGCAGGGCAGGCCGGGCAGGCTTGCAGCGCAGTATCGCAGGGCACTGCGGGAAGTGAGGGAAGCCTCCCACGCCCAAGCGATCGCCTGTGACCACATCCGAGGTCGCCGAGGCGGCCTCCAAAAAGCTTGAGCCACAACATTGTGCGGCCCCGCTCTTCATCATCATCATCATCATCATCATCATCATCATCATCATCATCATCATCATCATCATCATCATCATCATCATCATCATCATCATCATCATCATCATCATCATCATCATCATCATCATCATCATCATCATCATCATCATCATCATCATCATCATCATCATCATCATCATCATCATCATCATCATCATCATCATCATCATCATCATCATCAGCATCATCAGCATCATCATCATCATCATCATCATCATCAGCATCATCAGCATCATCAGCATCATCAGCATCATCATCATCATCATCATCATCATCATCATACCATCTCATCATATCATCTCATCATATCATCTCATCATCATCATCATCATCATCATCATCATCATCATCCTCGTCAGCAGCATCCTCGTCAGCAGCATCAGCATCAGCATCAGCATCAACATCAACATCAACATCAACATCAACATCGTCATCAGCATCATCATCATCGTCATCATCATCATAATCACCAGCAGCATAATCATCATCATCGTCAGCATCATCATCATCATCATCCTCATCATCCTCATCATCAATCTCCTCATCATCGTCATCACTATCATCATCGGCATCATCACCATCATCATCATCATCATCGTCATCAAGAGCATCATCATCATCGTCGTCGTCATCAGCATCAGCAGCATCATCATCAACATCACCATCATCACCACCATCACCATCATCGTCATCATCAGCATCAGCATCATCAGCATCATCATCAGCAGCATCGTCATCATCAGCATCATCATCATCCTTATCATCCTCATCATCATCATCATCCTCATCATCATCGTCATCATGAGCTTCATCATCATCATCATCATCATCATCATCATCATCATCATCATCATCATCATCATCATTATCATCAGCATAATCATCATCATCAGCATCAGAATCGTCATCATCATCAACATCATCATCATCAGCATCATCATCAGCAGCAGCATCATCCTCATCATCAGCATCATCGCCACCATCATCATAATCACCATCATCAGCATCCTTATCTTAATCATCATCATCATAATCATCATCATCATCATCATCATCATCATCATCATCATCAGCATGATCATCAGCATCACCATCGTCATCATCATCAGCATCATCATCCTTATCAGAATCATCATCATCAGCAGCAGCATCACCAACATCATCATCATCAGCGTCGGCAGCAGCATCAGCAACAGCATCATCAGGAGAATCATCGACAGCATCTGCATGGTTAACATCATGATCATCATCGTCGTCAGAATCAGCATCATCATCACCACCATCATCATCAGCATCACCATCATCAGCAGCAGCAGCACAAGCATCGTGATCATCACGCGCATCATCCTCCTCATCCTCATCCTCATCACCATCATCATCACCACCACTACCATCATCATCGTCAGCATCAACATCATCATCAACAGCAGCAGCAGTAACATCATCAGCACCATCATCATCATCATCATCATCATCATCAGCATCATCATCATCCATCATCATCCGGAGGTCAGCACCAGGCGTCTTCAACGAACAGATCGATCGAATCGAGCCCGATCAGACCGAAAGGGGATCATCCATGGGGGCGCACGACCGAATCGATCGATGACACGCGCAGACATCGGCGCACATCATCGCATCGATCGAACCGTCGGCAGCCCTGCCCTCCCTTCGTAGATGACCTGTACCCGCCTCCTCTCTGCCGAGGTGGCTCCTGGGCCAAAGCACGGCCCTCACAGGCCGGTCGGGAAACTTGGCGCTACCAGTTTGACGCTTTCGTCGGGCTCCAGCGGTTGGAAGGGCGCGGACCTCAAACTCAGCAGAGAGTATGCACAAGAACGTGCTGAGCATTCTCGCGCCTCGCTCTCCTCTCTGCCTGCCTTCCCCTCCCTGTCATACTCAATGCACCCCCTCTCGTCAAGCAGCCCTGACTCAGCCCACGAGTCCTTACCTCCCTCCTCCTCCTCCACCACCATTTCAAATGGCCTTCACATGAATCCCTCAACTCACGATAGCAAGACATGAGGCAAGAATTGCAGCGAGTGGGCTCCGCGGACGGACTGCCACCTCCTCCTCCTCCTCCTCATGTACCTCCTCCCCCCCCCCGTTCATCCCCCTCCTCCTCCTCCTCCTCCTCCTCCTCCTCCACCTCCTCCTCCTCCCGAAAAGGAGTCCCCAGCTCATCGTTCTCCTCCTTCTCCTCCTCCTCCTCCTCATCCTCCTCCTCCTCAACCGCCTCCTCCCGAACCTCCACCCCGACCTCCCCATAGGCCCCCTCCCGGCCGACAGCCCCATCCCACAGCCCGCGAGCCCTCTCTCCCCTGGCAGGCCGGCAGTCTCTCGCGGGCGAGGCCCGCCTCTCACGAGCCGGCCCCCGGTGGCTCCACCTGAGGACGACGACGACGACGACGACGACGACGACGACGACGAGACAGCCCCGCC